CTCCATTTGTTCTCATTTTACCTCTCTCTCTCTCTCTCTCTCTCTTTCTCTCTCTCTCTCTCTCTCTATATATATATATATATATATAACAGGTAAAAAAAAATTCGTGGGTAAGTAATCCAAGTAGATCTTATTAATATAAGATATTAAAACTGATCCAGAAAAGAGAGCTCAATATAATTTTTATTATAGAGCTAAATTACAATTCATGAAATCTAAACGATTTACCTCATACAGATGATCATTTTGTCCTCGGGAAAGTATCTCCAAGTATATCCCAAGGCTACAAATTCTTGAGTTATGTTTATTGTGTATGACTGCAGAAAAATTATGATATGTAAAATGCTCCAAGCGTGCTCATGGGGGTGTAAATCTGATGAGTGCAATGGCTAATGGTTTACTTGGAAATCAGGTGAGTATTCCTGGAACCAGTTTCCGGTCACCCATATAAGTAGCTATGTTATATATTATAACAAAGCAAACTATGGTAATTATAAACAGTTGCAAATGACCTGAAGGTAATTTTTCTGAAAGGCTTTCTCTTTGGTATCTCGACTTCATGAATTTAAGAGTAGTACTGTTGTTTACTGTTGAGACTTATTGTAATAGTTTCGCACTTCTCGCCTATGGAACTCTCTTCCAGCTTCTTGCTTTCTTGTCAAACACAATCTACAAAAATTTAAATGCAACGTCAGTCGACATCTTGTATTCTTGAACTCTGTCCTTTGCCCTCAGTAACGTTTTCTCAGTTTCCTTCACTCTATTGTCTTACTTCCACGGCAAGCCCTTGCGTCTTAGTGGCTTGATCGCCTTGCTTGGAGTGAAATTATTTTTAAAAAAAAAAAAGAAAAGAAAAAAAGAGAGATTTGTGTATATTATAGCTATCATGATATACTCCAGTTTCACTAGTGGTCACTGGAAATAGGACACACTCCAGACCATTAGATAACCATAAGCAGCTTTTACAACATTCTGATGACAGGTTAGATTCATCGCCTCATGACGTCTCCTTGAACTAGACTGCTCAAATGAACTGAAAACAAGAGTGAACAGGCAACATGGCACCAGTCATTCATGATCTAATGGACATATTTTTGACCCAGGAGAACTGATGACGTAGTGTCAATAATGGTACTTTTGTTGGTTAATGCCTATAAAACGCAAAGGAATGTAGTCTATGCTGTACAAAGCACTTATTCATGTGTTGAACAGTCCTAGCATTGAATTGAGAGGTGATTTGATACAACGTTTCACTTTGTTGGGCGGTTACCATCATTGTCAGTCGCTGGTGATCCCGTTCTTGTCTTACCTTTACACTTGCAGATTCCATGTGCCGCTGATGTCTGCTTGGAATTCACATATTCCTGGTATAAACTTGCCCAAGAAAATTCTAGAGAAATTGCCACTTCGGAGATAGTGCCACAACTTTCTAGCTTCAACCCTTAAGTTAATCAGTATTATATAATCATCTTATAGTTGTCACGTATTGTCACATGTGGTCTCCGGGTCACATGCGTTCCGCAGGTCACATGAGGCCCGCGAGTCACATGCGGCCCGCCGGTCACCTGCGGCCCGCCGGTCACCTGCGACCCGTTTGGCCTTCTGAATAACACGTCTAATTTCATGAAGAAATTAACATTTCTTAAAATTTGGTTTATTTCGTCTCGTTCTCACACACTCTCGCACATAACCACATACATGAACAATGATTATGTGCAATGTTTCTCGAATTTTTAAACTTTCGTCGAAGCTAACGTTTTCATCATGTTAAACTATTAACGATGTTCACTAAGGAAGATCAGACGTGTAAATATCTTTTAATTTTTCTCTGCATACAATGGATATATTTTTGACCCTGGAGAACTGTATTCCCTAGACAAGGAAAAACATCCAATATACTGCTGTTTCTAATTGTTTTGAATAATCACTTTAGTAAAAAAAAAATTAAAAATATTTGACCTTTGTTAAATGAAACAAATTGCATGTGAAACTGAAAAAAAAATTTCTTTTGCAAACTGATAAATAATTGTTTTTGCAATTTCTTTGAAATATGAAGGTTTAAAATATCAATTGCAGTATTTTCTTATAAGCTTCACAACTTTAAGCTTTATTATGGTCCATTAAAATGCAGTTAATATGTTTTATTATACTTTTAAAAGTCATTTATTGCATTTTCCTATTAAGAATTTAATATACTGTAAAATGCTGTTAATGTATCCTGATTTATAAGGAAATACATTAATTTCTTATTCTATTGTTGTTATCTGTGCTGTAGTTTTTCTAGAACTAGACGACCTGTTTCATTAGAAACAGCTAGTCTAGTTCTAGGAAAGTAATAATATATAACTTCCTTACTTTACAACCGGATACAATATTTAAAGCAGTCATAGACATGAGGTCCGCAGGTCACATGCGGTCCGCGGGTCACATGCGGCCCGCCGGTCACCTGCGACCCGCCGGTCACCTGCGACCCGTTTGGCCTTCTGAATAACACGTCTAATTTCATGAAGAAATTAACATTTCTTAAAATTTGGTTTATTTCGTCTCGTTCTCACACACTCTCGCACATAACTACATACATGAACAATGATTATGTGCAATGTTTCTCGAATTTTTAAACTTTCGTCGAAGCTAACGTTTTCATCATGTTAAACTATTAGCGATGTTCACTAAGGAAGATCAGACGTTTAAATATCTTTTAATTTTTCTCTGTCGTCTGCGTTGATGTTATAACATCAACGCAGACGACAGTGTGATTAGCAAACGCTGTTTCGTCTGATTAATTTCTATTTTATTCACTTGAAAAAAAAAAAAAAATTCTTCTCCAGAGAAAAAGTAAAAGATATTTACATGATCTCATGTTTTTAATTGTAAAGAAATTATTTTCACCGAAGAAAAAAAAAAACAACTTTTCCCAATTTCTGAGGAAGAAGCTTACGCCTATGTTCTTCCATGGTGAAAATGGCCAAGGCACCTTCAGTGAAAAATTACCTTGAATCTTTTTATGATGAGCCATATCTTATTCGGCTCACTGGTCGGAAAAGGAAGCACATGTTTGATCTCTCTCTCTCTCTCTCTCTCTCTCTCTCTCATTCCAAGTGGAAAAAACTGATCCATCTACAGAATTATAGAAGGACTGTGCTGGAAAACTAAACAGAAGACTAACTTTGTCTTCTTGGTTTTAATCTATGACAATGTTATTAATCCGAGCTGTATCATTCGTCTAGAATCATTAATTGTCAAAATAAATCAAAAAAACTTCTTCTTCCTTCTTTGTTTTCTCGAAACATTAGCTTGTAAAACTTTAGTCTCTTATCTGCGAAAAAAACTGTATAGAATGTGTGATATATAAATTTTCGTCCGAGTTACGCAAAAATGAAAATAACACTTATAACTCATTTTAATAGCCATATTTACCAATATAGCCATTGGCTTCAACCACGGCCTCCAGATGACTTCGGAACCTCCTGCAACTCTTCTATACAGTCTCCTTAAGTTGGTAAATGCTGCCATAATCCTTGCCTTCAGTTCATCTTCGGTGTTACAAAGAGTTTTTTTTTGTCTCTCGCTCAACTGCGCCCCACATAATAATCAAGGGGGTTGCAGTCTAAGCAGTTAGGTGGCCAGATGTAAGGGTGATGTGATCGCAGGGTCTCCCAGCAACCACCCTCTTAACCCAGGGCAGCTCTACATCCTCAATACATTTGATGTAGGCCTCCGTCTGCGGCCCTAAGGGAAGATGAATAGAGGAATAACATCGCCATCACTAGAGATCACTCCAATCACATTCGTAATCACTATTAGACTCATCTAACTCTTTTCGAATCCTCTGCACTGTCATCAGATTTACACCCAAAGACTCTGAAATGTTCGCATTGGAGCGTCCGGCACGAATGCCAAGCAGCACATATTGTTTCCAAATTTCTGGTAGAATGAATTGCGTCATGGTACGCATTATCACGCAGACGGTGCCCAACTGGCTCTACTATACTGTGCAGTCGACAAAATCAAGAACAAACAACGCGCATGCGCTAAATTAAATATATAAAATAGCGATAATTTACCCATCGCATCCTGTAAATCTCATTACAAAAAATAAGAACAAACGATCAGCAAAATATTATATTGAAAATCAAAACAAAAAATGTTTACAGTATGATAAATCTAAAAAAAAATATTAATTTTAAGATAGGATCGGATGCCAAAAAATTGAATCAGGAATCTGTAAAACTGACAGCCCGCCTGCACCCTTTTAACATCTGAATTCGCTTCCTTGCCGAATTTTTCATTTTTGGCACGATGCCTGTGATCGGAAATATTGGAGAAGGCCGAGTGGTGAGATACCGGAAGATCCAAGTAGATCTATTTTCATACCACTGCCTAAGAAGCCAAGTGCAAACGAATTCGAACACCATCGGACAATCAGCTTAATGAGCCACATAACGAAATTGACCATCCGAATTGGACAGAAGATAGAACACGAACAGTGCGGGTTCGTCAAAGACACTGGAACAAGGAAGGCAATATTTATGTTCAGAATATTATCAGAAAGAGCGATACAAATGGGGGAAGACGTGTACCGGTGATTTATAAATTACGCAAAGGCGTTCGATAAAATACGCCACGGTGATCTGTTGGAACTGGTCAGCAACCTTGATATATTTAGGAAAGATATTAGAATAATCAAGAACCTATACTGGCAGCATGCAGATAGCAGATGTGTTCAGCAAATATAGAAAAAATAAAAAGGGTTGTAAGACAAGGGTTTGTCTTCTCACTGGACTTATTCAACCTATACAGCGAGGCGATTCCGAGAGAACTACCAGGATTCATTATTGGCGGAAAAATCCTAACAACTTAAGGTATGGAGATAACACAGTATTTATAGCAGACACAGAAAGAAAGCTACAAAAAGTAGTGAAGGGAAACAAGAAGAAATGATTAAACATCAACTGCAAGGAGACAGAATCCATGGTTGTTAGCTAAAGGATGGCCCCAAAATGCGAATTTTAAATCGTCTTTACCTCCTATCTAAAGCAATAAGCATTCGTCATCAACCCTCAGTATCAAACGGACTTTACCTCCTGTCCAAAGCAACAAGCATTCGTCACGAACCCTCAGTATCAAACGGACTTTACCTCCTGTCCAAAGCAACAAGCATTCGTCACGAAACCTCAGTATCAAACGGACCTTACCTCCTGTCCAAAGCAACAAGCATTCGTCACGAACCCTCAGTATCAAACGGACCTTACCTCCTGTCCAAAGCAACAAGCATTCGTCACGAACCCTCAGCATCAAACGGACCTTACCTCCTGTCCAAAGCAACAAGCATTCGTCACGAACCCTCAGTATCAAACGGACCTTACCTCCTGTCCAAAGCAACAAGCATTCGTCACGAACCCTCAGTATCAAACGGACCTTACCTCCTGTCCAAAGCAACAAGCATTCGTCACGAACCGTCAGTATCAAACGGACTTTACCTCCTGTCCAAAGCAACAAGCATTCGTCACGAAACCTCACTATCAAACGGACCTTACCTCCTGTCCAAAGCAACAAGCATTCGTCACGAACCATCAGTATCAAACGGACCTTATCCTGTCCAAAGCAACAAGTATTCGGACCCCTCAGTATCAAACGGACCTCCTCCTGTCCAAAGCAACAAGTATTCGTCACGAACCCTCAGTATCAAACGGACCTTACCTCCTGTCCAAAGCAACAAGCATTCGTCACGAACCATCAGTATCAAACGGACCTTACCTCCTGTCCAAAGCAACAAGCATTCGTCACGAACCCTCAGTATCAAACGGACCTTACCTCCTGTCCAAAGCAACAAGCATTCGTCACGAACCCTCAGTATCAAACGGATCTTACCTCCTGTCCAAAACAACAAGCATTTGTCACGAACCCTCAGCATCAAACGGACCTTACCTCCTGTCCAAAGCAACAAGCATTCGTCACGAACCCTCAGTATCAAACGGATCTTACCTCCTGTCCAAAGCAACAAGCATTTGTCACGAACCCTCAGCATCAAACGGACCTTACCTCCTGTCCAAAGCAACAAGCATTCGTCACGAACCCTCAGTATCAAACGGACCTTACCTCCTGTCCAAAGCAACAAGCATTCGTCACGAACCCTCAGTATCAAACGGACCTTACCTCCTGTCCAAAGCAACAAGCATTCGTCACGAACCCTCAGTATCAAACGGACCTTACCTCCTGTCCAAAACAACAAGCATTCATCACGAACCATCAGTATCAAACAGACCTTACCTCCTGTCCAAGCAACAACTAAGTCAGGAACCCACAAGTCTTCACACGTGGCATTTGTATCTCCTTTGGTCTATACTTCATTCTATGTGATGAACGTTTTCTTGCAACTTATATACTCGGTGGTTCTATCTTGGTCGAACTTGTGTCTGAGTCTCATAGCCGGCCGGGTTAATTCTGTTTCTAAGACTCTTTGGATTCTTCCTTTACCAAAAGAAAACATTCATAGACAAAGTTGCCTCCCTCCGTTTATTCAAAACGTTTTTGACTATTCCCTCTTCAAGAACATTTGGCGCCAACCATTACTATTTTTGGCACGCAACAACGTTCGACCATCAACATCAAATTCACGTTGCACAGATTTGCTGGACCACTATCCAGAAACCAGGAGTTCGACACTGCATTCTAACTTGCTAACCTGTCATGAACCATTGATATTCTAAAGGAATATCAAATATGCTTATACGTAGGAGTCTGGTGATCTGTCACATGGCAATACACAAGAAACTTCACCAGGCGACCAGGCGTCCCCCATATTATATATTCCCAACAGTTTATTAAGAGCTACAAGGGACAGGAAGTTATGGAAGACCATGATTGCCTACGTCCGGGGGTGGGGCCACGGTGCATAAAGAAAAAGTTTAACTTAGCTAAAGCGTCTTATTTGTCCCTCCCAACATTTTGATTTTCATTTACCCTGGCTCCTGCTTAATTACCTTTTACTTGGGTCCTCGTTCAATTTTGACACGACTCTGTAGTTTAAAAATTGCTGTCTCTATATCGGCCATGCTTTTAGTTATGGTAATTTACACGTGCACGCATTGACTCTCCCAGCGATAAGAGCAGGCACTGCCTTTTACAGAGGGTAGTTTCCAGCAGTCAGCTATGACAGTCGGACCGAACATTCTTGCTCGTTTGTATATGTTTTGTCTTACTGTTTCTGTTAATATATTTGTTTAACTCAATTCCTCTCTTTGTGTCTATTATGCTAATTTACCCACGCATGCATGGACTCGCCCAGCTATAAATAGGAGCAGGTACTGCCTTTTGGAGAAAAAAGTTTCCAGCAGTCAGCTCTGACAGTCGAACCAAACATTCTTGCTCGTTTGTATATGTTCTATATGACTGTTTCTGTTAATATATTTGTTTAACTCAATTCCTCTCTTTGTGTCTTTATTTCTGGGCCCAACAAGGCCACAACACTTTTGATTCTGTGAAATCGAAGTTCTCTGATCTCTGTACTGAAGACATTTTGATAAAAGTCTAGAATCGGGGCCATAGTTCGGATGCGCAAAAATGAAATAATTTTATTAATACAAAATGACGCTTTAGAAGAATTAATAGAAATATTGAAGAATATAATTACTTTGTAGAAATTTGACAGTTCAAGAAGCAGTCCTCCAAAAACGTATCGAACAAAGTTCTACGATCATTAGTGATGACTGGTTCGCTAATAATGGCTTAAATGATCTGGGGTAAAATAACAAAGTTATGAAAATAATTTTGTTGATTTACGTGAATTTTTAGTCCACACTAAAATACTAGAGAATAACTGGCTTTATCAAAAGCGTTCTCTCAGGGTAAAAGGGACCAACACGCATCCGCACGTATGGAAATATATGTGAATATATATTTCGAAACAAATCAAAAAATGCATTTGAAAATATATTAGAAATAACACACGATATATATGCGGTTGGAAAACTTAAGGAAAAAAAACAAGTAAAGATAAAAAAAAAAATGACCGTTCATAAGAAAAATATTCGAGAATGTTATATTCACGCAAATACGAGATTTTGCTGGTATCGTAGAAATTTCCGACGGTCGAAAGGGAGATAAGTAAAAATGGCATTACAAATGGCGGAAGGTGGCAGTGTGTGAGATCGTGCGATTGTCGCGGAGTCTAGATTGCTTTTTTTCTGCTGTGAACAAGTGCTAAGAGCACGAGAGATAGAGAACGGAAGAAGAAATTTATTGTTACAAATATGAACTAAAATTACAATATATTGGATGTAACAGCAAAATTGTCCAACTTGTGTAACAGCATAACTGTCAACCCCACAAAATGTTTAATATCTATATCTAAACGTCTAAAAGTGTTTCTTTTTTCCATGTTTTTAGATCAGACGTTTAGCCATCGTAAGAATTACTAAAAAAAACCTTTGAGTTATTCAGCTAGAAAGAGAACAGGTTAAAATCATTTTGTGTCAGGCCCACTGTCTTCCCAAATGAGTAATGGCAAGAGGAAAAAGATCATTCAGGCCTTCAGTAATGGTACCAACATTCACACTCTGGCTTCCATCTTCAAAATCAATTCAAGAACCATCAAGAGACCGGTGAATAAGTTTAAAAAAGAGGGAACAGTAGAGAGGAAAACTGGATCAGGAGGTCACAACAGGAAGAGGGATCATCATTTCAACTTAGATCTAAAGAGATCAGTTAAAAAAGATTCAACTCAATCCATAAGACGTTTGGTACGTGAAAGAGCAGTTTCAGTTATGACAGTCCAAAGAGAAGTGAACGAAAGACTTGGTAATGAAATCGTACATGAAACTTGTGAGGCACCTTGTTACATCAGGACAGAAATTTAGAAGGTTAGATAGGGCGAAGATCATCTTGAATATGTTGGAAAATGATCCTGGAATAATATATATATGTATATATATATATGTGTGTGTGTGTGTGTGTGTGTGTGTGTGTGTGTGTGTGTTTGAACTTAATTTCAACCCTTCATGAACTTCCGATCCTTAGCTATGATTAATTAATAATGAACATATCATTTTCGTTTATGACCGATTTCATCACGATTCTTCTGTTAAGCTTGGAGAGTAATTATACATTTTTATTGCTCAAAGAAAAGTCCAATAGTGTTATAAAAGCCTCGGAGAATTCCAGTAAGATGACTTTAATCATTTCTAAGATACAACAGTTCAGAGCTTAATCTAACAATTGGACAATTTTCGCTGTTATACGATTCGGACAATTTTGCTGTTACACTCGGTATAAACTTTAACTCTCGAATTATGACCATTTTATATGGCACTGATTCTAGATTTTTACCGACATTTTTTTTTTTCATACCGACATTTTTTTATATCAGAAGCTGGATCAAAAGTCACAGAAATATTATTAAAAAAGTTAATTAATAACTTTTTTAATAATATTTCTGTGACTTTTGATCCCGCTTCTGATATAGTATTTTGTTTGTGGGCTAAGACGAAAATCGTTAATAGCGGTAGCACACCAAAGCCGTTACTTAAAGCGGGAAGCGTCTCACTAAATGACAAGACAGGAAGACGTCTTATTCACTCAACAATATTTTAATGACTTAAAAAAAAAAACAAAAAAAAACGAGAGTTCAAAAGATGTGTGTATTATAAATGCAAGGGGGAAACAACTCTTGCTTCCTATTATTATTATTATTATTATTAAACAGGGATTAGGATATATAATAATAATTTTAATTCTTCGACTGTTATATTTAATTTTCTTAATATTTGTTCTTTAGGTTAACAGGAATTTGAGTTTAGCTATTGTCCTTTCTTAACCTTAAGTTACCTTTCTGAATCATCAATACTTCTCGCAATATGTGTCCAGCTTTACATTTAATTTGGCGAAAGGTGTAGGCCCCCTTCTATAATCTATCTCTATAAGAGTCAGATCAGACCAAAAGTGGGATATTGCAGCTATCCCTGTGATGGAGCTTCCCAGTCCTAACTGGTCCTGTCTTGACAGAATTCAAAAGCGTCTATGCGACCTTGTGTTTGATGACCTATTTTCCATCCCCCAATCCCTTCCCCACAGACTATTCCCACGGCATGTTTTCTGGTGAGCTACATTCCTTAGTCCCGCCCCTCGAACTTTACAAATGGAACCTGCTATGCCATATACACAAGTGTGATTCACCTTTATTTTCTTCATATTTCATTAGTAAGATTAAAGAGTAAGTTCCATTTAAACAGCTGCTACTTTGTGGAGCAGACTCCCAGCACTACAATCTTGACCTCTCCAAGTCTAAGGTTTGTGGGAACATTGTTATTATTATAAATGAAAATAAAATATAAAATAATAATGATGATGAAAATTATAAATAAAATAAAATAAGAAACCTAGTTTAAACCAAATAAATAAAAATAATAAAATTACTCCCAGCATGCAACAGGGACTGTTTCTGTCGGAAATACGTACATCCCGCCAAGAGACGTGAGATTAAATCTGTTCGCCCAAGGATTTTCATGATGACAACATGTGTATAACTTCCCTCTGTGATAGGATTTGTGATATTACGGAGTGACTTATTACCTTCTATAACATGAACCTTATCGCAATTGTAATGTAAACACACACACACAAATACGTAATTTCTCGAAAATAACACGCATATTTTTACTGTAAATTACAGTGCGTATTATAAATAGGTTTAAATAAAAATATTTTTTCGTTATTGATTTATAAATGTACTTGTTCTAAAATAAGAAAGATATGTGGAATAATGTATTATTCCATCTACGACATTTTACGCGCGCGCGAGTTGCCTCCCTTTCTCCGACACTCGTGTGTGTGCGCGCGCGCGTTTTGACACCCCCCTTTCTCCCTCGTTCGGTCTAATACAGTAGTAACTGCTTTGGTCACCAACCAAGCGTCTTGCTACTACTGTTTATGCAAATTAGATTTTTGAAATCTTGCCGCGAAAAATTTGTGACGTCAACGACAAACTGTTGTTTCAAAAAAAAAAAGTTGGTGTTCCAGACTCTGACCTGGGCAGACTCATTTTTATCCACGTCAATATTTCAGTTTGACTGACGAAGGATATCTTACTATGCGACCACAAATAATTAATTCCTCGTCCCTTCTGGCTCGTCATTCATAATCATTTTTCCGAGACGATGCAAATACCAAATAATTAATTCTTCGTTCCTTTTGGCTGGTCATTCAAGACCCCTTTTCCGAGACGATGCAATACCAGATAATTTTTTTCCTCGTCACTTTTGGCTCGTCATTCGGAATTTCTTTTGCAAGACTACGAGAACACCAGATAATTAATTCCTCGGCCCTTTGAGACTCGTCATTCAAAGTCCTACTCCGAGACGATGCAGAACATACAAAACAATCCGTCGTCCACTTTGGGTCTCGTCAGAAATCTGTTTTGAACCAGTACAAAAAAAAGAAAAAAAAAAATATATACGTACATAACATTCACTCACATTACCTAAACTCGCAGTGAGTATTTTTCCTTGTATGAATATTACCATGTACATTGACTTACTGGAACCTTTTTTTCTTCAAGAACCTTTTCCCGCCTTTTTAGCCATCTTGTTTTTTATTTTGGCGCGGAACTTTTCATTGGTCCCTACCACGGGACAAATTACTTGTTTTTCCTGTATTAAATAAAGATTACTCTAGTTGAAATCCAGTCTTTATCAGTCATTCCGAGGAGGCTATC